GGTAGAAGCCATTGGGGTTCCCGTGGAGGATGGTGATGGCTGCCTCCATCATCTCGGTGAGCGATGGGTCCAGGGTGGGGTTACGCACCATGTTGTACTTCATGTCCGCGGGTTCAAAGAGGCCTGGGAGGGGATGCGTTGGGGACAGCCTCAGCACCCTCACGTGTCCCAATGGCTGCCAGGTCCCGGTGCATGGGACATTTGTTACCCATCAGATAAGTCACACTGGGGTCAGCGGCAGTGGCCAGCATCTCCGTCCTGTTCCAGACATAGTGGGCACCCTGTGGGCAAATCCCACGGGCAATTAACATATGCCAAGCTCTGTGCCCAGGGACAGCAGACAGAGGACTGTCCCCTTCTTGTCACCCACCGGCCGCGCTTCCAGCCACATGTTGATGAGGTTATTCCCATCCTCACGCATCCCGTTCTCTGAGCTGTAGGTGGGATACTCAGGGTCTGGTGTCCCCGCAGGGGTCATGTATTTCCGACCACCCCCTAAGATCACCTGGAGGGGATGAGACGGGTGCAACATTAGTGGGGGGATGCCCTCAGGGGTGTCTGGCCCTGCTCTTCCCACCCGCACATAGGTGCTCACGTTGATGTCGACGTTGTGGACCAGCTGCCAGGCGATGTCCTTGCAGCCCTGGCTGCGGGCGTCCGCGGGCATGCTGGCATCCGCGTACCAGTTGCGGTTCACCACGTGGGCGTAGGTCCCCGAGGGTGACGCGTGCTGCACCCGCGTTGTTGTCACGATGCCCACTGCCTTCCCTGTCACCCCCCACTCATCAGACCCCACAAAGGGCGACATGAGGCCCCCCACCATCAAGCCCCTCATGGAGGGGAGCAGGCCCTGGTGTGACACTCCTTGTTCCCGGAAGGTCTCCCCCCCTAGCCCTGCACCCCCCCATTACCAGCTTTGCGGGCTCTCTCCAGCACCGAGACCACCTCGTTGCCCGCCGTGGTGTTGCACTGCGAGTGGCGGGCAGCAGCACTCAGCCCCACTGTCTGGTAGTTGCCCTTCACCCCGCAGAGGTAGGCGGTGGCCGTGCCCGCGCTGTCGGGGACCTGCCGGTCCCCGTTGTACGTCTGCCGAGGACATGCACCAGGCTCAGGGTGTTACCGAAATCAGGAATAGAGGGGACTGTTGGCAAAGGCACCTGGTGGTGGCACCTCCTAGCACCCCTTGGGCAAGTGTGGGATGGGCAGGGACCCTGTGCACCCCACACGTGCATCTCTGGGATGCTCCTGTGCCAGCAGCCCCGTGAGCATCACCCTGGCCCCGTGCCCAGGGTGGCAGGGATTTACCTTGGAGAGAGCCACGTAGGGAAAAGCATCCAGGGCAAGGGGGGTCTCGGGGCCCAGCTTTCCCTGCTCCTGCCCCTTTAGGATGCGAGTGGCCGTGATGGTGGGGATCCCGAATCCTGGGGGAGGAGAGAGGGTCTTGGTCACCCTCTGGACCCTCCCCATATCCCACTCCATGGAGCACTGGCCTGTGCCAGCCTCTCCATTGGGGGTGTCAGTGGGACTCACCATCCCCGAGGAAGAGGATGAGGTTTTTGGCTTGGTTTATTCTGGGCTGGATTCTGAAGGAGGCCTCAATGGCAGCAGCCGCTTGCTTGTTCCAGAAGGATGGATCCTCCTCCTCCACTGGGACAGGGCAGCACCCCTCAGTCCCAGCTCACCAGCACCCATGTCCCTGGGATACCCACATCCCTGGGACACCCACATCCCTGGGACACTCACAGCCCTGAGGCACCCACATTCCC